CACTCACATGTGTATAAGAAAGAGCGTTATATACAAGAGCAGTTGAATATTGAGAAACCATCCCAGCCCAGTCCAGATCAAGTCCATAAGTCCGATATTAGCCCATATTTCTGATACCAATGTATAAATTCCTGTTCAGACTCACAAAACACATGCAATGACACCAAATGCAGGAAGATCCCAGGCCAGTGGGTGCAACGTCGTGTGGATCCAATAACAGTAGAGGCATCTCAGCACTGGCAGGGGTCTCCACGTGGCTTCTCCAACTCCGGGACTCTGGATGACAACAGCCTGTCTCCATGTGGTTTGTCAACAAAGGCTATCTCACAGGGACTGAGTGAGTGTCCTGCCTCCAGTGAGCTACATATCTCCTCAGCGCCTCCAAACGAGGTCATCAAGCTGCGACCTGATTGACAAGTCAACTCCACCCCTTCACTCTTAAGCCTCCAATTGACAACAGAGTCTGTCACTACCACAATAGGCATACCAGCATCCCTGGTTTTGTTTCTCTAGAAAACCCGCCCTAACACAGCCAGGGATTGAATGCTTGCTCTTCTGCCTGCGAGATCAGAATCCACCCGCTGGACCACTACTGCTGGGACCACCGGCCACTCCCTGAGCACACACTGCATGGTCACAACCACACAGCAAAGACTTCCAGACTCTTCTGTCCTCCTGTCCTCCACTGCCCCCTACCTTCCAGGGCTGGCTAGCTCCTACTCCTCCTTGACAATCCACCATCTTCAGGAAACATTAGGGAGCTGAGTTTGACACCCTTTGTGCCCTGTGTGCTCATCGTCTCACACACACACACACACACACACACACACACACACACGGTCCCTTCTTTAGCACTTACTGAAAATGACTCTTTATGGGTTTCTTTCCATCTTAAGATTATACGGGCCTCAAGAGAAGCATTCTATTTTTATTCCTTCTTATATCTCAGGGCCTAATCCATGTCACAGGGCAGATCCTCAATGAATGACTCTTGGAATTAATCAATCATGTAATTAATTATTCCATTTTGCACCATAAATTTTTGCCACTGTTCTGGTAAATGCGAGTTTTACTTAAAATGAATCAGAGTAAGTCATTTGGGATGGAGGGAAAATGCCTCACCCATGCCCTGACCCTCACTTCAGTGACCACGCCCTATCACCCTGTGGCAGGAACTGATTCGTGGGCCATGACATTAATGTCGGCCACCTTTTTTTTTTTGAGGAAAACAGGCGAATCAGAAGAGAATGGCATGACCCTCTGAGCTGTCCCTTCGTTTCATGATGGGTGCTCCCACCCGAATCCCAACAGGAACTCACAGCGACCGTAAACCCAAGTGGAGGAGTGGCGGTTCTTGCTCCGATCCTTATTACCGTATATACCCGAGTATACGCCGAGTTTTCCAGCATTGTTAATGCCGTTTTTTGTGGTAAAATTAGGTGCCTTGGCTGATATTCAGGTTGGCTTATACTCAAGTATATACGGTATTTGTGAGACTACAGGAAAGTTTCCTTATCAGTTTCCATGGGAATGATAAAAAAAGCAGATGGGACATACAGGCAGGACCGGTTAGGCTGCAAATTCTCAAAACTCTGCTTGTTCGTATAACTGATGCCAGGGCACAGCCAGCTCGATCACCCTGCTGCTCCAGCTTTGCTCCTTGCTTTCAGCCCCCAACCAGTGACCACCCGGCCTTTGCCCCATGGTTCAGTCTAGAGCAGTGGTTCTCAACCTTCCTAATGCCGAGACCCTTTAATACAGTTCCTCGTGTTGTGGTGACCCCCACCCCACCCCCAGCCATGAAATTATTTTCGTTGCTACTTCATCGCTGTCATTTTGCTACGGTTAAGAATCTGGCGACCCCTGTGAAAGGGTCGTTGGACCCGCAAAGGGGTCGGGACCCACAGGTTGAGAACCGCTGGTCTGGAGCCTCTCAGACACAACGGGGACACAGGCTCAGTGGCATCACGCTGAATGATGCTGAAGCCATAGGGCAGAAAGAAAATGGGTCTCCTTCTAAATTGCAAATCTAACTGGGTCATCCTCCTGCTAAACACCTTCTATGGGTTGGGCTCCCCCCACCCCAGCTCCGCGACAAGGAGGCCTCAGAGAGTTCCTGGAGAAATCCCATGATCCTTTACAGAGTTCCATGAACTTTTGGAAGGCCCCTCCGTATAAGCAATAAGGTCCTCCAGGATCTGACACCTTGCCAACCTGTCCGACCTCACTTCCTCATATCCATTTAACTCCAACCGTCCCCAGTCACCCGTGCTTCCCAAAGGAACCATGCTCCAAGTCTTCTCCATGTTGTCCCGTGTGCCCGAGACCACTTCTCAGACCCTCTTGGTCCAGTCTCAACTCAAGGCCTCGGTTCCCCCTGGGTTTCATCTCTTGACCATATGGGCCCTATGGGATTGCTCTTCTCCCTGCTCTGTGCCCCCTTGCCCCCTTCCCTAACTGACCCACCAATCTGTCTCGCTTGTTGCATAAGGGCAGGGAGTGTATCTTTCCTTCAAACCCTCAGCACCTAGCACAGCACCTCCCACAGAGTAAACACCTTTAAGAGAGGGAGGGGAAGACAAAACAAAGCCAGGGGCAAGAGAAGCAAAAGTAGGGTGGGGAGCGAGGCAAAAAGGGGCGGGTTCTTCATTTGACACTTTCCCCAGGCTTGCAAGTCACAGAGCAACTAGGTGGCTTTGTCACCAAGAGAAGAAAGGCCCTGCAATGAGGGAGGCCAGCGAACGAATGCCCAGGGTAGGCTGGACACCAGCGACTTGAGTTGCGCCTGGGAGATTTCACAAGCAGGAAGGGGTGCCCTGAGCCAGTCTCTGTGGAATGCGCAGTTGAGCAATCAACCTTCTGAACACTGATAAGAGGCTCAGAGAGGATTTCCTGTTGTGAACACATTTAGGGTGGGTCAGGGACAAGGCCGGGCCACTCCCCTAGCGCAGTGATTTGCGTTTGGACCCTTCCGTTCCAGCACCCACCAAGGGAAGCCCCTCTGTGGAAGCCCCTTCCTTGACAGAGGCAGCACCAGCAAGGCCAGCGGTGCCAGGGCTCCAAGGGTTAGCGCTGGTTAACCAGGACCAGGGGTGCATGAATGGGCGTTTCATAGCCATCTTTCATTTGATGGGCCGACCAACCCACTGAGATCAAAAGTGCTCACTCATGGCCCTCGGGTCAATTCCAACCAGGATAAGAGTGGAACTGCCCCTGTGGGTTTCCGAGACCTGTCGCTTTTTCCGAGCCTCATCTTGATATCAAAAAAATAGGTGGTGAAGAAGACTGGTTATCTCTGAGTGAAGATACTGCCGCTGAAATGCCACTTGTTTGATTCTTGAAAAATAAATGACCAAAACCCTCCAAACAAAAAAAGAAAGCCTCATCTTTCACCTATGGAATGCCTGGTGGTTTTGAACTGCTAACCTTGCTATTAGCAGCTGTGGTGGTCACCTAATCTGGTGTCAATTTGAGGATTAAGAGTATAGGGTTGGAGTCTAGCCTGTCAATCTAGAGATAGCCAATGAGACCTCTGTGTAGGTATGGCCTTCTCCTGAGAATTCTGAGAAATCCAGTATTCCTTCTTGTAGGCAAGAGACACTGTCGCTCTCTGATGACATCCTGGGAGACAGAGCAGCTGACAAGACACATGGACCCCTGCCAGCACTGAGATGTTTCCAATGCCACTGGATCCAAAGACTGTCTATCCACTGACCTGTGATCTTCTACATTCGGTGTCATTGCATGTTTTTTCTGAGTCTGAGGAGGACTTTATGGATTGGTGTTGGACATATGGGTTAATATCAGACTTATGGATTTGACCTGGACTGGGCTGGGATGTTTTCTCAATGTTCAATTGCTCTTGTATATAAAGCTCTTTCTTATACACATATATGTGTCCACGGATTTGTCTCTCTAGTCTTCTCAGACTCACAGCAGCCCAATGCTATCAGGTGTGGCCTCGATTTTACACGAGACAACTAAAGGTCAGAGGGGTAAAGTAACTTGTCCAAGCTCACACCGCAAATAACATAGCCCAAATTTGAACTTTGTTCTGTCCGGTCTCAATGGTTTTGCTCTTTCCACACTGAAACCCTACCCCTGAGAGAGTCCAGCTTCAGACCGAATTTGAGCCTGAGGCTGCTCCTTGGCTGGGGCAGAAGTGTAGGCTTATAAGATTCTAACTAGCAAATGTGGAGACACATAGCCGGGTGAATGGTCAGCAAAACAACAGGAAATCGTCAGCGAGAAGGGCTGACACCGTGGCTGCAACAATGGGCCAAACATCACCCTGATGGTGAGGCTGATGCAGGTCAAGCAGTCTGTCATCTATTGCACGTGGGTCCCTGAGTTGGAATCAACGGTACATGTCTACAGGAAACGTGAACCAAGGACTTGGGTATGTCCACCCACTAGGAAGGGGCACCTCATGCAAGAGACAACGATGGCCTCCGTCGCCCACCCTTCCAAGGTGGGTAGGGACTCCCATGAAGTCCCAAAGGTCCTGGAAGAGAGGGATTGTGTCATCCCCCAAAGAGAGGGCTCCCACTCTCAGCCACCAGCCACCAACACCAACCTGACTCAAAAGTTTCTAATGTATCCAGCACTAGAGGAAAAAATACTGCCCAATGGAGGGGAGGCTCATTAGAATCCCACCATCTAGCAGGGAGCGCTGAGATCTTCAGGAAAGTCTTACTATTAACAGGGAAGCATCTTTGGGCTTCAGCAAAAAGGGGTACCAGGACTCAGAGAAAGGATGGTACACATCACTCAGGGGTGTCTCTCACCTAGATCCCTGCAGGTGGGTGGTGCCTGAGATGCTGACTCAGAGCTGCTCCACTTTGGCCTAGCGTTCTCGTCTATGTGAAAATTTGGGGAACGCGGATGGCACATCTTTAAAAAGTGGAACCAGAGATACCATCTGATCTAGGAATCCCTCGCCACCCTTTACCCCGCCACTAGGTTTATAGCTTAGAGAAATAAGAGCCATGACACGAACAGACAGATGTACACCCATGTTCATGATTACATTGTTCACAGTAGGCAAGAGGATACAAACTGCCTGCGTGCTCGTCGGTGGATGGATGGATTTAACCCATGGTGGTACAGACACGAGGGAATAAACAATGAATCCACAAAACATCTCACAGCACGCGTGAACCTGAAGGGGACTGTGCAATTAGTCAATCATAAGGGGATACATATTGTAGGTGGCTACTCTTATAGAAAGTCAAGGAAAGGCTTATGAACAGAAGCAACCGTCTCTGATGGGTCCCGGGGATCGTGGGGGAAGGAGGGGAGCCCTAGGTAGATAGTACACATGCACTAACTGGGCAGCGCACACAGTGAGTAGGACATCAGCACAGGACCGAGTGACGGCAGGCACTGGAAGCTCCACAGTGACTACTGCTACCTACACAATCCTGTCCTAACAGGTCCAGCGCTTTACAAATGGACTCACAGCGAGGCATGGAAGCCAACAGGTGCGGGAGGGTACGCAGGAGTCCCTCTAGAAGCACACACAGGTATAGCTGTATAGGTGTCACACATCCAGTACAGTCAAGCATACGGGGGACAGAGTGATGGAAACTTGTAAGCCACACCAAACCCTCTGAGGAACTGAGGGCTGGAGGGCCTAGGGGACAGCTCGGTCATTTGGCATAGTTCATAAAGACAGCGGTCTGCATACTGCTGTGATGAGTAGCAACCAGCAGCTTAACCTTGGGGAGCTGCCACCTAAAACCCAGCCACGGCTCTCTTCCCATCTAGAGCACAGAGGAGTGAGGGAAATCAAAGGCATAAGGGAGCAAAGGGTCCAGAAGGCTAATGGGTCACGTGAGTCAAAGCCCCCACTCGTCTGAGACCTGAAGAACTAGCTAGTGCCCCACAGCCACGGCCGACGGCTCTGATGGGGATTGCACTAGAAGATGCTGGAAGGGGTGAGAGAAAAATGCAGAACAAAATACAAAATCACCAAAAAAGACCAGAGTTACTGGTGTGATAAGCGACTGGCAGAAGCCCTGTGATTGTGGCCCTGATACCCTTTCACCCTGGCACAGACCCCACCCTCAGGGAGCACCGTTCAGCCAAACACTCACGCCTATCAAGCGAACAACTGAACTCCCACGAGGAACATGCTCTCTGAAACAAGCAATCACACCCCATCAGAAGGGCAGCAATTGCCCCAAAACAAATTCCAGGAGGCAGAAAGGATCAGGAGAGACAGATGGCGGATGGAAACGGGGAAGCCAAGGAGGAAGCAAGAGGAGACGCTCGCAATTCATGTCTTGAAACAAAATGTACATAACCTGTCAAGGGGGTCGCCAATTTGTCCTGCACTTTCACTAAACCATCAAGTGTTCGTAACAAGCCGTGCAACAGACGTTGACGTCACAGCAGTCGCCACAGCCTTAGATCAGTTTCCAAGCACACACACACACACACACACACACACACACACACACTCAGGGGGCAGTGGAAGTCGATGGTGGGTAAGAAAAGCACAGACAGAAAAGTCCGGGACTTCACAGCTCACCAGAAGGACAAGAAAGTTAGCTACGTAACACATGTTCAAGATTGGTGGGAAGGAACGATTCAATAAAAGGTCCCCTGCCATCAGGAATCCACACGTGAGTTCCCGTGAGTTGAGTTCCACTTTCCCTCTCCCGGCGTGTGTACCTCATGCTGGTTAGAATCAGTCCATTTATCAGTAGGGAATGAAATATGCCCATAGGACAGATAAGCCAGGTCCAATCTTAGATCTGGGAACGTACCGGTAGCTCCTAGTTTCCTAGACTCGGGCGGAAAGCTGCTGACTTCAGGCCGAGGGAACAGACTAAGAAGCAGCAGTGACAAACATACTGAACAGCACAGGATAGAAACCTGGGCAGTCCCCAAGCCAAGGCCCTCTCCCAAGACGTCGTCTCTAAGAACCTGAGAAGCAAAGTGCTTCCAACCTCCCACGTGCTTATGATAAAAACAGGTCCCTGTGGTTTTGCAATTGTAATCCAGGGTTCCCCAGAGGTCTCAAAATCATAAAAGGACCCCATCATCTTTCCATATTTGCAAAACAAACATCATCAGAGGAAAGGGAAAGGCGTCCTTCCTGGGGAAGCTCATGGGGAAAGTACTTAATGTTGGTATATCATATCTGCCTGAATCCTGAGGGCTCTTTAAATATAAACCATCCTCCTGGTCCTTAGGGGGCCTGTCTCCTTCCAGCCACAGTTCTCAGCCCAAAATATCCCACCACACACCATGCATTGGTCCACACACTTGAGGAAAACCCAGGTCTCGGATTACTGTCCCCCTAGTGGTAACCGGGTCAAATTGCAGGCACAGTCACTACAAAATTCTACCAGGCTGTGCTCCGGAAGCTGCAAAGGGGAGGAGGGGGGACTCGGACGCCGGCAGAACAAGGTAGATAACACAGATAACAGACACAGGCCAGATGAGAGAGGAGAAGTCTTGTCAGAAGAGGCACAACTCCTAGTTAGTTCCTGATTGTCTCTTTGGGGAGTGCAGATGACTGCTAGCAAACCCCTCTGATTCACGGGGAGCTAGACATTCTGATTTTATCCTGAAACTCCTGGCTTGTGGATGGTGGCTTGATGTTCTTGAAAACACGAGGGGAGGTAAATAACGCTTGCAGTCCTGCGTTCACACTCTGCTGTGCTGAGGGTGCCTGTCATCTGCACAAACTGTGGTATTACACTGCCACTCACCAGCCACCTTTTGCCATTGCAACAGAGCACCCGCTGATGGGGCTGCCCTGCTTTCCCAGGCACCCACCATCATACTCCAGGGTGGTGGAGAACACGCCTAACTCTACAGCAAAGACCAGGAAGCTCAGCTGAGCCACCCAGGGGTGGCAGCAGGCTGACCCTTAAGATCAGCTGCCGGCCAGCAGGCACTAAATGGCAGACTGCTCCTGCAGAAAGCCTTCGGGGACTGGGAGGCCTTTCTCCGGCTCGGAGGCCAGGGCTGCTTCCCGGAGGACTTCCAAGTGCTCCTCGGCGGCTGACAGGGACTGGTCAATCCAGTCCAGCCCCCCGGTTAAGTGGCAGGCATTCCTGGTCACCAGCACCAGATGGCTGACAGACAGGAGCAAGGCTGTGGTCCTGGGGGAGGGAAGAAAAACAACAGGGTCAGGTTCCCTAGGAAGTGAGGGACTTCACACCAAAGCCCACCTGGAAAGACTCTAGACCAGGGGTTCTCAACCTTCCTCATGCCATGACCCTTGACTACAGTTCCTCATGTGGTGGTGACCTCCCCACCCCCAACCACAACATGATTTTCATTGCTACTTCATCACTGTCACTTTGCTACTGTTATGAATCGGGCGACCCCTGTGAACGGGCCATTCAACCCCCCAAAGGGGTCGCGACCCACAGGTTGAGAACTACTGCTCTATACTAAGTCGAAGTCTGTTCCTCAGGCGGTGAGCAAGTATATCATGTAAAGCTGCCACCACGCTCAAGCAGCTTGGAAACGGCTGGGTTACACAGAGTCAGAGAGATCTCTTTACAGCAGCACTTCTCAAGAGTTCTGATGTGTGACGGACGAAGCTTGAGAGTCCATGTACTTCATGAACTTAGTTCAGGCTGTGAAACCCCTGGTAAGCAGCACAGTTATGAGGTCTCCCTAAATAACGTTGCACGGAGCACAGTGTGGTGGCTTCAGTCCACCAGATGAGCATATCCCACGTCGATGGGAGAGATATACACACAGCCTCCTCTGGAGCAGCTCTGGTTGACTATGAATCCATTCATCTGACTGATTATGAATTAATGAGACCCAGGGAAGTTTCGCCGACTCTAAGAGAAATTTCAACTGAAAACCAGAGTGAGGGGGAGCTCTGGTCTTTCAAGATTTACAGTAGAGCATCTTTTATAGAGTGGGGACCGTGCAGCATTTGGGGATCTACTTACTACAGATTGCTAGGCCCCCGGACAAAGCGGAGCAGCAGAGGCAGCGGGCCAGGGATGGCCAAGCGGAAAGACCACTACCATGCTACCCACCAGAAGGGTGGCAAATACCCGAGAACCACAGGCCCCTGGTTTTGTAAAAACAGGTTTACATCCTGTATAGGAACAGAATTATCCTGCAGACTAAGGTAGGGAAGGTGGGGGTGGGGGGGGAAGGGTGGCTGGAGGTGTCTTGTAGAAGGGAGATGCAGCCTTGGCCAACTCGTCCCTTCTACTTCCGTGGTCTGCTTGCCACCTGCCCCTCCAATCCCCTGGGTGGCACTCCCAGCGGAAGTGCATCCGCTTCTGAGATCCACAGAGCAAAGAGGGAGCAATAGGGACCATGGAGGAAGAGATGACACAGTTAGGACGTAGCCCGGTCCTATGTTTACTCCTGAGAATTCAAAACTGAAGACTAGCTCTCCCTTCGTAAGGTTTCAGAAAGAGGTGGCACCTTTTTTATCAACTCAAGCCATGCTCAGCTCACTGGCTGACAGACAAGATGGGGCTTCTACCACCCAGGAGCCAAGGGGGCCCAAAGCCCTGTGGGCAAAAAGACAGATCTGACTGCCTTCTCCAGCACGTGGGCATAACCAGGGCCACATCAGCCACCCGTGAAACAACCGTCCACTGAAGTCCTGTCAGCCAACCTTAGCCACAGCCGTCACGTCCATTCTGACCCATAGGGACCCTACAGGACGCAGTAGTGCTGCCCCTTCGGGTTACAAAAACAGCTTGCCCCGTCTTTCTCCCAAAGAGCATCTGTCAGATTAAAAGCGCCAACCTTTTTGTTAGCCTACCAGCGCTTCACACACTGTGCCACAAGGCTCCCTTCAGCAAGATCTCCCCACTAGCTGCCACCGAGTTGATTCTGACTCATGATGACCCTCCAGGGCAGAGGGGAACTGCCCCTTTGGATTTCTGAGGCTGTAACTGCTTACTGAAGCAGAACGCCTCCTCTTGCTCTCAGGGAGCAGCTCGTGGAGTTGAACTGCTGAGCTTGCAGTCAGCAGCCCGACTCATAACCCACTCCACCACCAGGGCCCGTAACCACCCCTCAGATTCCATGATGATGACCCTGCAGCATGACACACGGGCGCGCCCTCTCACCGTGCATCCAGGAGTTTCGGGTCCAGTGGCGGGTACATTGATTTCACAACATCGTCCACTCTGAGGGGAGACAAGAGGATTTCAATGTCTCACTGTCCTTACCTCTCGATACACATTGAGATGTATCCCTTCTCCCTCCCCCAATAAATGTTGGGATCCACCCCTTGACAGTTGGATGTCATCCCACCCGGGAACGGGTTTTCTGTTAGGGGAACGAGGCATGACGGTGTAAGGTGTGTCTTAAACCGAATCACTTTGGAGACCTAAACACAGCGGATTGAGCAGAGAAGCAAGCAGACACAAACAGGGAGACAACATTTGCCACGAGACAAAGACTGCCCCCCTGGGACACACAGAGAGAGAGCCTTCCTCCAGACTGCCAGCTTGCTGAATGCTAGGAAAATAAATCCGCTCACTAACGCCACCCACTCACAATCCCAATACAATGTGGAGAATCCTTCCTCCCTTCCCTCCTTCCTTCCTTCCTTCCAACTCTTCCCAGTCATTGCTTCTGCCTTCTCAGACAGACTGCCCAGACACTCCAGGTTCCGTTCAGAGGGCTGGGGGTGGGTGGGGGGTGAGGGGTGATTTGTTGTTGTTGCTGTTGTTGTTGTCTTGCTTTTGTGATAGTTGCAACATTTTATAAAGTTCACACCTATGGGGAAATGTGCAGGATGTCCTGCCCAACGGAAAAAGCCAAACAATATAGAACCCTAGACCGATCCCCTTTGCCTGAAGGCAAATCAGCACACACAAGCTCCAGAAGGAAGGACTAGAACTAGGGAGTGTTTCACTGTGATGACGAGATGACGCTGATGATTCTAACTTGGCTAATCTTGAGGCTCCTCCGGATGGACCCGAGGGCAGGGCAACAAGGGGAGCAAGTGCCCTGGAGACCCTCACAGGTGCCCCCCTGTCCCTCCAGTTCAGGGAGGCACTACACCCAGCAGGGAAGCCAGGTGGCTGGTGAAGGGAACATCCTGGACTGGGACCTCTGGTCTGGCAGTGCACATAGCAGCCTCCAGGTGGCGGCACGGTCTTGTCCCTGCCTGGGCTCAGACAGGGCTGTCTTTCCTGCACATCAAGCCCAAAGGAGGGGGTGTCGCTGCTGACTGCAGCCCTGCGCTGACTGCCTCCCACACGGGATTCTGCAGACTGCCTGGAATTCGGGAGGCCTGAATCCTGAATCTGAATCCCTGGCGGCACAGTGGTTATGCACTCCGTGGCTGACCGAAAGGTCAGTGGTTTGAGAGCAGCAGCCACTCCTAGGCAGAAAGATGCGGCAGATCTGGGCCTCTGACGCCTTAGGAGGCAGGCCTACCCTGCCCCACGCGGGTTTGGAATTAACTTGCCAGCAGTTGGTGTGACTTTACTTCTCACCCAGCCCCCCGGGGCTGCTGGCCAGGTCACGGGTGTCAGCGTGGGTGGCAGCCATAGCAGCAAGTAGCTGGCCCTCCAACTGATCTCCAAGACAAATATGAGGCAGGGACCGGGACAGGGCATGTTCAGGAGCCCCCTGGGAGGCAGGGGCCCTGGAACCTCTGTTAGTGAGCTCGGTGGTTACAGGGTCGATCCTAGGGGGCAGTGGGGAGAGATGGAGACTGGTCTCGGCTGAACAAGGAAGTAGTAGCCAAACAAGCCGCAGAACAGATGAGTCAGAAGTAGCCACCATGCTGGAATTCCTCAAGCCCTAACAGGAGAGAGAGAGAGACACCACCCTAGCCTACGGTGACCAGACATCCTGCTTTTGGTGGGACAGTCCTGATTTTTGGAAAGAATGCTCGACAAGCGAGGGGACGGTCTATTTGGTCCATATACAGTAGACCAAATTTTTAATCAAGAACCTCCCACCCCCCACCCCACCCCCACCCCCGTCAATGGTGTCCCTCTTTAAATCTGGTCACCTTACCCTAGCCTGAAAGCCTACCAATATGTAGATGTCCTACGAATGTCTGTGACATCAGTAACTGACATTGCCTGTGTACTCTCTCTTAAAGGCGCCTGGCCCTGCCGCCCACCTCAGCTTCCCACCCTCCCACTGAGACTGGGCTTCCTCAAGGGCCCAGGGCTTCCTCAAGGGCCCAGACCACTCACCTGGGGCTGATCCGCTTGGCCACCACGATGATGTCGCTGACGCTGGCTGAAGTCTTCATTTTGGCTCCGGAGCCCATTGTCATGGCAACCAGTTTTTCTGTCAGCGTGTGACAAATCTAACGCAGCAGAAAGCAGAGGTGGTGAGGGGTGACCCCGGTCCCCGAGGGCTTCTGCCGCCCCCCTCCCCCACCATGGATCCCACCACACCACCAGCCTCCCACACAGTTGGTAGAATTAAAATGAGAAGTATACGGGTCTTAGAGGATGTGGAGCGGGAAGAAGCAGAAGCCGAGAACATGAGTGAAGAGGGAGGGAGGGGCAGGGACCTCAACTCAGGGTCAGGGTCTGGGCTCAGCGAAGCTGACACTGAAATCATCTAAGAAAAATCATGTGCTCTAATTTCACCTCTGTGCTCAGACGGGGAAGACCTACTCTCTCCTTTCCTTCCTTCGCCTCGTGGTCTAGCCCTCTGAGAGAAGAGCGTGCTCTCAGTGTGGCCATCAGCCTCAGCGCTGGCCACCCCAGGGCCTGGGGCCTTTCCTCACTGCGTCACCTGCGTCAGAGCCTGCATGTGCTCCTGCCCCTGGCAGAGAATTGGTGAAAGAGAGTGGGCGGAAAGAGACCCACCCAGGAGAGACCCACCTCCCTTGAGCCTCCATGACAGGGACTCGGAGGCAGGTGGACCTTGGGACCCAGCAGGGAGGATTAAGCCACCTCCCTTGATCTGAGGCTCACAAGATGGACCACTAAATCCAATAAGACTCTTCCGGCCTGTTTAGATAGGTGTCGTGTATGTCGTCCCATGCCCTATGGTAGTCAGGGCGCCCCTGGGTGGCACCAGTGTTGAAGTACTCAACTACTAACCAAAAGGTTGGCAGTTCAAACCTACCCAAGGCACTTCAGAACACAGACCCGGTAATCTGCTTCAAAATGGTCACAGTCTTAAGAACTCTATTGGGGAGGGGGTGGGTTCTATTTAGTGTAGGGGGTCGCTAGGAGTGGGAACCAACTTGACAGCAACTGACCACGTGACAGGAAGGGGCAGGAGGGACCCACAAGGGAGAGAAAGGAGGTGACATCTGGCACGACTGTAGTAATCCTTCCACCCACCTGTATCTATCAAGCCAAACTGACTGCCGCCAAGTTTTCCAACTCACCATGGCCCTACAGGACAGAGCAGAACTAACTGTCCCACAGGTTTCCCAAGGCTGCAATCTACCTATGGAACCAGACTGCCACCTCTTCCTCCTAAGGAGCAGCTCGTGGGTTTGAACCCCCCACCTCTCAGTTAGCAGCCAAGGGCTTGAATCCCCACAGCTCCTGATCTCTATCTATGGCCTGATCTATATAGCCAAAGAACGTCTTAGAACTAAATAATAAGCCTCAGAGACTGGGGGACAGCAGATCCTTTCTCTAAGTGTGCCCCTGTCCCCCACGGCGAGGTGGCCAAAAGGAGAAGTGGAAAGACACAGAGGAAAAGTCAGCGGTGTCCTCCGCGAGGCCCTGCATCCTTCCTAACAGAGGTTGAAATGCGCAGCCACCCGGTTACTGCCGTGGAAAAGCCGACCATACTTGCAACTGGGCAACACTGCAGTGCTCTCTTCGTCCCCTTAGGTGGGGGAGTCTCTGGCAAGAGTGAAAGGCAAATGCCAAAATGATACAATGTTTCAGAGTTCAAGCACCATAGGCAGCGAGGCAGGGCAGTCGGGGGCAGCAACCGCCTTTAAGTTAAAGTCTCTTCTGGTTTGGATGCTTTGACAGCCGGAGCGCGTCCATGAAGGGCAGTCTAAATACAGGACTTGTGGCAAAGGCTGAGCGCTTTATCAATGAAAGCAGTGTCTGGGGAGAAGCCGGGGAAGCCCCAAGTTCCCTTATGGCAGCTAAATGGTCCTGGGCACACGCACGACCTCCTCCGGGGTGGTCAAAACAGGCCTGTGACGCTCTAAGCTGGGAGGACCAGAGGAAGGAAAGCCTTGGGAATCATGAAGGACGAAACAGTTCATCCAGGTGGATGTAGACCGGGCAAGCGCCAAGGGTCAGGCACGTGACCAAAGGCTCTCTCCATCAGGGCTAAGCGGCTGGCTTTGGGCCTCAGGAAGGTCCCTTTCAACTCTGGGAGTGTGTGCCTGCAATCCTTGGTGACCCACTTCCTGTCATCACGAAACCAGAGGATTACCTTCAAGATGGCAATGCAGTGGGACAAGAGACCCCTGAGGAGACAAAAAGAGTTGGTCAGTGGTTATCTGAGAAGCCCACCTCCCTCCAGCTGCCTTGGCTGTTCCTCCTCCCGCTCTGACCAGTGGGCACCGCTGGACGCCACCGGAGGGTAGTGCTGCTTCGGTGCTAACAGGAAGAGGTCCGAACTCCATGAGGAAGCACCTGCCCTCCCCGGCCCTTGCAATTACTCTTCCAGCCATGGATTTTTACAACTGGGAGTGTGGGGACCACTGTTCCCTCTTCCTGATGTGTCCTTCCCCTGACGGGCAGACCACCTTTCAAGGTCCAAGTTCAAAGGTGCTGATGCCACCTGAAATCCACCTGCCCATGTCCACCCCCGATGATCTGAGACACTGCCCCCTCCGTATGCTTCCTGTGCTGTGGACGGAGACCCTCTATGGTTTCTAGGACAGTGTCCCCAGAGTCTCAGCTACAATGCGGTCTCCCCACTATTTTCCTAACCACAGGGCCTGGCCCAGTGCCCTGCACATAATGGTCCACAAATATTTGCTCAGTGAATGCATGACTCAATGGTTAAGGAAATGCAGTGGCCTCCCCTGGTCCAACCGTAGAGGTTTCTACGAGGGACAGTGAGGACAAAGGGGCTCATTGTCAGAGTCTCCGCAGGACATTCACTGCCCCCCCGGAGGATAGCGCAAGCCCACAGCGGGGTGACGTGACCACGTGGAATGGCTCTCACACGTGTATGGGCCCCAGCGTTCAGGCCCACACACGGGGGATGGGGACAAGCACTATCACGCCACCTTCTGATCTCGCCTCCCCTCCCCGGTGGGGGCAGGGGTAAGAGCAGTGAGTGCCACGGAGCTCCTGGGCCCCCGCAGAGTGCTCTGGCGAAGGAAGCCAGAGAAGAACACCCAGGAGCCCCCACGTGCTGTCCCCCAGCAGGCTGAAAGATGGCCCTCGGGAAAGCAGACGGGGCCCCGGGGGTCTTACGAGGCATCTTCGATCCAATCTTCATTCTCCAGAATGGCTTCGATGTGAGGGTTGGTGATGACGACGTCATCCAGTTCCAGCTCCGAGGGCTCAGACTGGGTCTCCATGGCGCCGATGAGGTCCACAATGGGCCTAGAGGGCAAGGGCCCAGTTTAGTGGTCTCACATTGACCCCCTCCTTACTGCCCAAACCCACTGATAGCCATCGAGTCGATTCCGACTCAGAGCGAGCCTACAGGACGGAGCAGAACTGCGCCTGTGGGATCTGAAACTGTCCCTCTGTCCCTCAGCAGAAAGCCACCTCTTTCTCCGAGGAGCGGCCGCTGGTGTCGAATGGCTAGCCTTCAGTCAGCAGCCCAACTCTTAAACATTATGACGCCAGGACTCCCTGCTGAGGCCTGCACACCCCAGCCGAAAGGTCGAGAAAAATAGATACATAAGCAGAGAGCCCCCTTTTCCTGATTCCAAACCCAACCCTGGTGGAGACAGGTGAGCCAGTGGGCCGAGGAGGCGGCCGAGGAGGATCAAAACAAGAAGACGCCCAGGAGGAAGCGGACGCCTGAGAGGAACAGCAGGGCGACAGTCCTACCGCTACAAGGCTGGGCTGCACAGGGCTGTTGCTGTCAGGCAACAGAATATCCTTCTGTAACGTGTTTGATCTTCGAGCCTCTCACTGACAGAGGGACTCTGGTCCCTATGACCGGACGCCTACTTATACCCTCCACCTGGTCTGTGGACTCACTCCAGAGAACCACCCACCACCCCTTCCACCTCAGCACCCCTCGCCGCTCCTGGTTTCCCTGGTGAGGAGGGAGAAATGAGAACAACTCTGGCGATTACAGCAAGCCCTCTCTAAAACCGAGACACGATGGCATTATATTCTAAGGCAGAGCTTTCCTGGGGCCACACACCAAAAACCCACCGCAGTCCATTCAGCTCTGACTCACAGCTGCTCTGGGGCACAAACTAGAACTGCCCCCAAGGGCTTCCCAAGACTGTACATCTTCACAGACTGCCGCATCTTTCTCCCGCAAAAAGGGGGCACTTAAAAGAGTAACCCCCTAGCAGGTGCTGGTAGGATTAAGACAATCAAGGGGTAGGAGACATAAATAGGCCATGACCTCTCAAGGACCCATCCATTAAAACGGCCCTACAGGGAAAAGACCTTGTTGATAAAATGTATTTCATTGAGAACAGGAGTGTCAAACTGGCAGCCCGCAGGCCGCATGTGGCCCCCGAGATAATTTTTTTGTGGCCCACGATGCTCTGAAATAAAATGAGAATAGAAAACATTGTTGTGAAGAAAATAGCACTTAGGGGAGACCGGGGCAATACAGTACACACAATTCCCTCACTATATTTTATTTCAGAGCATCGTGGGCCACAAAAATGACCTCGGAGGGCTGCCTGCGGGCCCGCGGGCCACCAGTTTGACACCCCTGATTTAGAAGATGCGAAGAGAACCTCTGCTGTGCGAGAGGGCCAGTCCTGTGCTAGGTTTTCCTCAGACTGATGGCTGATTGGATGTGTGGCTGGAATGCAGGCATCTAGTTTCTGTGCCCGTGGCTTTGGCTGAAAAGAGATCTGGCTTGTCCAACTGCTAAGTGAGCCAGCGGGTCTTGGATGGATGGCTGGGCCTTTGTCCCAGGTGCCTGAGTTCAGGCACTTTCTCATCAGCTCAGGTGACCGGCCAAGGTGGTTTAAGGATGTTGGGAGGTTTGAGGCCCATTCTGAGGGTCTGAGGGCAGGAAGGGCAGCCGGCAGGTGCCCTTTCCCTGTGTTAGCGCACATCACTCCTCCTTGCCCCGCCCCCCTCCCCAACACCACCACCCAGGACCCCCACTCACTTGGAGTCATAGCGCTGCAGCAGGTCTCTGGGCCGGCAGTAGCGCTGCCTGCACACCACCACCAAGGCTGCAAAGGAAGCCAGGAAGATGGTGGCCAGCACCCCAATGGCCACGATCACCACGGTCTCCATGCTCCTGGGCGGCTCCCGCAGGCCCGGTCACATCCTCCAGCTGCGTCCGAGGTGAGAGAACCTAAGGCCGCAGCAGGCCTGGGAAAGCAAGCACAGAAGAGTGTAGCACTGACTGGTCCCGCCCCGTGGACATGGCAATCGGTGTGTGCGGGGTGGGGGATCGGGGGACAGTTTCCTTCAGGTCACCTGCGGCGTCAGACCTGAGGGCCTCAACACAATCCAGGTACCTGCCCCAAATTATTATTTGCCTTCTCCATGATTAAAAGGGTCTACCCTTCGGTTCAACCAGACTGCTCTTTGAAAGGAGAACCCCAGGAAAGGGAACTGATGACCCCTGTTGCTTTCACGAAGGCAAAGCACAGGCAAGACGGCCCATTGAAAAGGGGGGGTGGGGGGGTGCACTTACTGAAGGTAAAAAGCAGGCATGTTGTATATGCGAACTCCTCTAAGCTCTCAAGACTCCCAAAAGGTAGAGAGTCAGTTACGGACACTGAGCTGCGGAGACGCTAAGTAAGCTGTCTAAGTTGATGTGGGCAGGAACCAGCGGAGCAAGAGTTCAACCCTAAAGCCCATCCGTTTAACCTTAGCCAGGCAATCACCTTGCGCTTTTCTGAGGAGAAAAGATGCTGAGACCTCTGGAAAGGGTTTGGATGTCCCATTTCTGTGCTAGAAACTAACTCAAACTCACTGCTACCGAGTGAGTTGATTCCGACTCAGGGCAAGCCTATAGCAGAGCACAGCTGCCCCTGCGGGTTGCTGGGAGTTTACACTCTGTAGGTGGATAGAAATCCTCATCCTTCTCCGGAGCAGCGGCTGGTGGTGCTGAACTGCTGACCTGGCGGTAACCACTACGCTTCCAGGGCTCCTCTAGAAACTCACTAGTGTGGCAAAGTAGTGGCTGCCTGTTGCCTGTTTTCGCTCAGAAGGGCTCTTTCAAGTCGGCTTTAGACTCAAAGAGCTGCAAGGGGACCTCTACACAGCGGGCACTCACAATGTAATTTTACAGTAAACTTCCTCCTCAAGGCCTTCCGAGCAAGTCTCCCCTCCTCTCTAAACTTTAATTTCTCCTCTGACAAAAAGGGTGGTTGGAACGTGCCTCTGTGACCCTTCTATCTGCACTTAACTCTATGCTCCATGTCTGGGAGGGTCCAAATGCTTCCGACCATCATTCCTAATTATTTAGGGATGCTCTACCATGCACCAGGGCACCAACAGAGTCCTTGTGGCTTAATGGGTTGGGCTGCTAGCCGCAAGGTCAGGAGTTCAATATCACCAGCCAGCTCCAATGGAGAAAGATAAGGCTTTCTACTCACAAAAGGAGTAAGTCTCAGAAACCCACAGGAAGCAGTTCTACTCTGTCCTATAGCGTCACCATGAGTGGCTATCAACTCGGTGACAATGGGTTTGGTTTTTACTGTGCACGAAACACCGGTCTCCTTTCTGGGGACTGGACTTAACTAAGAGGCAGGTCCCAACTTGATGAAGCCCATGGAAGAGGCAGCTAAACAGGTCATTCCAAGTCCACTTAATGGGTGCAACAATTGGGGTCTGGGCTACAGAGAGACAGAAGCACATAGCAAAGAGAGTAGCCAAGGGCCTGCTGCTTTGGAGAGAGCCTTCTTCACAAGGCTGGGGATGCTGGCGCTGCGTTCTGAAGGGCAGCAGACTTTGTTAAGGAGGCAGGCTGGCTCAGAAAGCGTGAGAGCCTGCTGTACTCTTCCCACGAGGGCAAGGTGGCTGGGATGCACCCCTCTCAGGGAAGTACTATCTCTGGTTGTGTGGGTGCAGGTTTGAAACTCTTCAGTTCGGCCTCACTTCCTGGAGAAGTGTCTGTAGTTTGTTCCCGGTCCTATGTAGTCCACCTCCTCTCTTCACAATCCCCACCTCCCTTCCTCCCCCTTCTTTATGGGTCTCTTCAATCTGCAGCTCCCTCTCGGCTTCCTCCTTCTCCCCCACCCTCCTCGTCGGCCCAGGGGTCCTAGACCACCTGCTTTGTTTCACAGCTCCTTCCTCGGCTCTTCTCCGGTGGTGGAGGGGGGGTGGATTTTCCACGGTCTGTCTGTCTGTGATTCTGTGGGTGTTCCTTTTTGTTCCTTCTCTCTCTCTCTCTCTCTCTCTCTCTCTCTCTCTCTCTCTCTCTCCCCCTCCACTCTTTTCTGCTTCTGCTACGTTCCCTCTTTCTCGGTCTCCACGTAAACTTGCTTCGCTGCCCCCCTTCCCCGACCTTTCTCCCTCTAGTTCACCCTAAATCCACCAGGACCCGCACACCCCAGTCCCCATCTCCCTGGCGCTGCCCGCCAGGCCCAGCCCCGCTCCCTTTCCCAGCTCGGGGCGCGCGCCCACAACAAAGCAGGGGCCGGCC